CGCCCTTGAGGCTGCTCTCGCCTGGCCTCTCTGCCTCGCCTGGGCACCTCGCCTGGTGGTGCCGCCTCAGCAACACAGGGGCGCCCGCGAGACCCGGTTCCACTCCTGCCCCTCGTCTGGCCGCTGCCGCATCCGTCTCCTGTTGTCTTGCGGTGCCCCCTGGGGGGCATGTCCCCCGCCCTGTTATTCTGGCCAAGGGGCCCACACCCGCTTGCCCCCTGGTCCTGGACCCTCGGCTGGCTCTGACGGTGTCCTTGGTCTGCATTCCTCCCGTTCCTGACCTCAGCCTGTGGCGGGACTGGGCTTGGACTTTCCATTGAACCCTGCCTCTGGACTCTGCCTTGCCGGGAGTCCCGTCGCCCTGCTCCCGGGGCCTCGGTTGCTCTCACCTTACCTCTGCTTGCCTCTGGCCACCTGTGTCCAGGCCTTGGACCCCAACAGGCTGCAGAATGACCATACGAGAAGATGGAGATCCCCCTGCCCTGCTGCCCCCTGGCCTTTTGCAGGAAGAACCCCCCAAAGACGCAGAGGCTTGGTCTCGGGAAGGCTAAGCACTCGTGCATCCTTGTGCCCCCCCCACAATATGCAGAAGCCTTCCCGTCGCCCCCAGCCCCATCAGCCACCTCTTGTGCTCTGTGTCTCTGATGCTAGTGCCAAGTCCTCGTGCTGAATCTGAAGTAGCCTCACACCAGTAATGGGAAAGTATAAAAGGTAAAGGGAAAGGTTTCCCCTTGACGTTAAGTCCAGTCATACCTGACTCTCGGGGGTGGTGCTCATCTCCGTTTCCTGGCCGAGGGAGCCAGCGCTTGTCCGCAGACGGTCTCCATGCTCATGTGGCCGGCATGACTAAACACCAAGGTGCAGGAACGCTGTCACCTGCCCACCGAAGTGGCACCTTTTCATCCACTTGCATTTGCAGGCTTTTGAACTGCAAGGTGGACAGGAGCTGGGACGGAGCAACGGGAGCTCACCCCGTTGTGCAGATTCGAACCGGCGACCTTTTGATCAACCAGCCCAGCAGCACAGCGGTTTAAACCCCTGCGCCACCTGCAGCCCTAGGGGATAGTATAGAAAAGCTTTAAATAAAATAAAAATATAAATTATACAAGGCTCCCGAGTCAGGGACCGGGAAAGCCGCCTGCAGGCCTCTCTGGAGAAGCTGGAACCACACTGGCCCTTTGCAGACAAGAACACTGGCCTTTAACTCTTCAGCTGGGCAACATCTCTCCAATCCTGTCCAGTCCTGCTTTAGGGGCGGTGGAGCTTTAATGGGGACGCTGGTTTGGAGAGGGTGTGTTCTGAGTTCCACCACAGCCCCTGCTAAAAGAAGCAAAGAGGGGACACCCAGCTGCTCCCTATAAATAAATAAATAAATAAGAAAGCGTCCTCACAGAGTGTTCCCTTTGGGACTGACCTAGATTTTTATTTATAATCAAGAATGGCTTAGAAATTGGACATGAGCAAAGAGGTGCCTCTGCGCAGACCTTCCCTTCCCTCGGTGCTCTGACAGGACATACAGAAAAGTACAAGCAGTCTTGTTATATTGAAAGTTAGGGAGGGGGGGGATGGCTTTCCTGGCACCAAGCAGAACTTGATGTTCCCGTTGATTTAAAATAAGGGTGAAATTCATTTTTATAATGCTAAAATGTCTGGCAAATTTCTTATACTTAAAAATTGTAGCAGCAAAAGGTATACTTGCTGGCTTCCCCTGCAAAAAGGTCAGTTTCCACTCCGATTTTGCTGCTGGTGGCAGAGGGAGTTTTTGGAAATTTACCTGCGCACTCGCAGGATCTGCCTTCCACAAGAGGAAGCAACCTTTTATTTTATGAAAGGAACCTTCTCTTTATTTATTTTTATATTCTTTTCCTATCCTGCCTTTTTTTTCTTTCAAGGAACTCAGGGCGGCTTCTGTAATTCTCCTCCTCCTGGTCTCCAACTTATCCTTGTAACAACAACCTTGTGAGGTAGGCTGGCTGAAAGTCTGTTACTGGCCCCAAGTCACGCGGGTGGCTCCATGGATGGATGGAGCCTAGCACCTGGACCGCCAGAGTCCCGGCCCCACACTTACCTGCCGCGGAGACCCTGGCCCGTTGCCACACCTGTCCCTCGCCACCTGACACGGCCAATGTGCCTGAGCAGAGCAGCTTTCCCAGTCTGACCTGAAAGTCACCGGCCGCTGGCCAGCCGGGCCCCGGGGGAAAGGGACCAGGGCTGCCGCCGGGCCCCGAAGGGCTAGGGGGCTCGGCTGGCCTCCGGGGCCGCTGGATGTGCGTTCGGCAAGCTGGCGCCACACCTGGGCCCGCGCACGGGAGGTGGGCCTGGCACCTGCCCACCCTAAGGCGAGATTCCACACCCGGCTCCCACTGCCCAGACTCCCTGATCGTGGGGATGGTGGGGGTTGCAACCCGCCCCGGGCAGCGGTGGCGTCCCGGTGGCCTCCCAGCCCTGTGGTGCGATGCAGTGCGTGGCGGGCCCTCCTCGCCTCGGCTGCCCCCGCCACAGCCCCCGCAACACCCCAGGGCGCCCCAAGCCCCCCTGGGGACGTGCTTGGCCTCCTGTGGGCCGGGCCGGGCGCTCTGTCTGGTCCCGCGCGAAGGGCGGAGGATGGCGGGGAGGCGCGGGGCCTGCTCAGCGGCCCGGCCCGGCCAGGCACCCCTCCTTCCTCCAGAGCCCCCCACGGCTTCCTCTCTGCCCCCCGCACCTTGCGCCCGCCCGGCCAGGGGCAGCGGCCGTGTGGGACGTGGGTGCGCCGAGGGCCACAGCGGGGGTGCCCAGGTGCAGGCTGTGGGGCAGGGCGTGTGACCGGGCGTCCCCGTGCCGCCCTCCCCTGGGCCCGGCCCGGCTTCTCCGATGCAAGAGCGGCGCTCTCCGGCCCACAGCCGGCCGAAGCTCCTTGGGGCCGGACAGTCGCGCCCCCTTCCTCCCCGAAATCGGCAGCACGGAGGGGCGGCAGCCACAGTTTGCTTTCAGGATTGCTTTATTTATCAACGTACAGAAACGAGCCCCTGGGGCTTCCGAAGCACCCCCTTCCCATGGTCCCGAAACACATTATAAAAATAAGGAGCCCCAGCCCTGCACCAGCCCGTTCCCGAGGCCACACCATATAAACGGTCCCGAATAAATAGCGCAAGGCGGCAGGGGCGGGAAGGGGCTGCGCGCCGGGTGCCCCTCCTCCCCCCGCTTTGCATAAATAACACAACATCCGATGAAGAAAATAACTAATCGCAATGACAGGCGACGACGACAAAAGCAGCCGAGTTGGCCGACCAGCAGGGCTGAGAAGAGCGAGATCACGGACGCCTCCCGCTGTAAACACCTGGCCAGATGCAGCCGGAGCTGCCCCCCGTCCACACTTCAAGCTCCCCCAAATTCAGGGCGAGCAGGGGAGTTTCGGCCCCGGGTGAAGCGCTCCAATCCAGCGGTCGCCCTGTTTAGCAAATGCCCTTTCCCGCACCAAGGGTCCTATGTTCCTTCTCCCAAGAGGTCCAGGGGCTCACTGGGTCTCTCTGACCTGCTAGCTATCCGGTGCCCCCTTCCAATTCCGAAGCATAAGAGGCATACGGAGTTCAAGAGCGTGTCTCGTTCGGAGTGGGGGCACATGCACCCCTCATTCCTAGCCCACTCCCTGTGAAACCAAGCAGGACAAGACACCACAGTATGGAAAACTCCATTCATGAGGTCTGGCAGCATGCCAGTCACTCTCAGGATAGGTTCAACTTGTACACAGCAGCCAATTTTGTTTCTGCTAATTGCGCTACTTTCATATTGACTTTTGTGTAATTTGTATTTAATTTAGATTTGTAAAGTTGTTGTTGTTGTTTTTTTTTTTAGTGAAAAGGGAGACACATCAAGTCATGTTCTATTCTTTACTTTTGAAGACCAAGTGTCTAGTCCTCAGGGTTCTGATGATGACCATGAGGTGTGTGTGCATGTGTGGAATGTGAACACATTCAAATTCAAATGTGAATGTTACAGGTCCCATGAAACTTTGTACCACCCTTTGTAACAGAATAAATTAAGGAAAATTAGAGAAATCATGTCAATCGGATTGACTTGTTCAGCTTATCCAGGTCACGAATTCCTCAGTGCAGTTTTCACACATGTACATATTTTATGTACTTTCTTGTTAGCTACCTGCCTTCCTGTCCCACTTGAGAGCTTCTTGGAGGCCCCTGAAGAGGGATCTGAATTTTTTTTTTATAATACAAAATAGAATAATAAAAAGAAAAAAGAGAGAGAAAAACAAAAGACAAGGTACTTGCAGGGGGGCGAGATCCTGAACTCATCCGGGTTAACCTTATTCTGCTTTTTGGTTATTTCCAGAGCAATAAACATGATATTGCTGCTCACATGTCAAATAGAGATGCAAAGATACCTCTTGGAAGGCAATTAATTACCTTCCTGAACGAGGTAAGGAGCGGAGCAGCATTGGGCTGCTGCTGTCCAAGTCGCCATTCCCCCGGAAGTTCACGAGGGGCCTGGAGTTGGTGGGGAGCTCAGAAAAACCATTTTCCTGGGTGAATTCACAAGATCTTGGCCCTTTCCTGGACAAGACCCAAGAATCCCCCTGCCCAGAGCTGATGGGTAGCAACGAATACCTCCCCTGTGGATCGAGGCCGTCTCCTGGGGGGCAGAAGAGCAGGACCCCCCCCCCCCCCGGGACACACTGAAGTTTCCAAAGGTGCACAAACAGTTTGCCAGCAAGAGAGACTCTACGCTGGGCGTTCCAGAGTGAGAGAGACTCGCTGCATTCACATTTAACGCTAAGCCATGATCTGCTGCCTCATTTCTGGTCTGTTTCTCCCCCGCCCGTTTGGCCAACCTTCGGAGCGGTTTCCTTTCACGGCCGCTCCTGTGGGATACCTCTGCTTGGACAGCAGTGCCGCAAGTCAGGGGTTAGCCAAATCCTGGGGGAAAATGTCACGACAAGCCACGTTTTAAACAAGCCAGGATTCATGAGCCACGAAAGCAAACCAGATTTGAACAAACCACACGGGGCCTTAGCGGTAGGTGTGGCCCGGGCTATCCTGGGACAAATGCCACATGTGGCTCATGGGCAGAGCGGAGGCCGCCAAGGGGACACGATTCACCCAGAGGCGCTGAGGGTGAGTCCTGCTCACACGGTGCACGGGCGCTTCTGTGCCGCAGGAAGCGCCGGTTTTCTTCCCAGGTGGACGAAAGAGCTCGCCGAGGGAGGGAGGTGCACCAGGGGAGCTGCAGCTACGGGGCGAGGCGGGAGGGAAAGAGCGAAGAGTTCCACCGTCCCGCCCCCTCCAGGGACAAAATATTGCTGCTGGCATGTAACACCTTCCCGAGTAAAGTGCGTCACTGAGGGGAGGATCCCAAAATCCTATGTACCAGATTACCTTCCGTCCCCTTCGGAAAAGGCTCCCCCCAGCCCACCCCCAGCCGACTGGCCCCGTGGAGAAGGGAATGTCTGCAGAGAAGCGCTCCGTCTTCCTTCTCCTGGCGCTCCAGAGCGGGTTCCACGCCACGTACGAAAAGTGCATTCAGTGGCCCTCCGGCCTGGCCAAGAAAGGGCTCCCCCCGCCCCCCCGAGTCCGTTCTCGTGAAGGAAAGAGTCGTAATGCCGAGTGTGTCCTCTGGCGCTACCCATGGGGACCAGCCCCACAGCGCCCCAGTGCGCTGGTGATTCCCCAGGGGGGCAAAAAAGCGAGGGCCGACCTCCGCCTTCCGTGGTGCCCCTCCGTGGCTCCTCCCGGGCAGGCTCTTGGTCCAGACCCCTCCAAATGATCCACTGTTCCCTCCCGGCTGCCACGCACGCAGTCAGATGATCACCTGCAAGCAAGAGTGGCGACGTTACGACGCAGCCGCTGCGGCAAAGATGGCCGGAGGCTTGCGGTGCAGATGCCGCCAAGGTAACCGGCTCCAAGCGTCCCTATATTTAGCAAGTACGGGGCACGGGGTGGATGCCGCCCTGGGATGCACAGCCGGAAGCGTGGCTTCGGGAGAGGGACTGCTGCCACCCCTTATGACTCTGGCGCGCCCACAGCTGGAGCACTGTGCTCAGTTCTGGGCTCCACATAACAAGAGGGATAGAGCGAGGCTGCAATCGGGCGATTTTGAAAAAGCCCTCCGGGAGTAGCGTTTTCTGCACAGCTCATCATTTCTGCCTGTTCTAAACACATTCCAGCCAACAAAATCATACCAGGACCCCTCGTTTTTGGAACCCTAACCCTACCCTGCTGCACACCCCTAATTGTAATATAGGGCTAAACAAGCCACTACGATGGTGGCTGCTTTGCAGGGGAAGCCGCACGAGGCGAGACTGAGGGAGCTGGGTCTCTTCAGCCTGGAGAAGAGGAGATTCAGAGGGGACCTGTTGGCGACATACAGGTATGTGAGGGGGTGTCACATGGAGGTGGGGAGAGACCTGTTCTCCCCTGTAATGGAGGGCAGGATTCGCTCTCTCCCCCACCACCTTTATCTAGACCAATTCCTTTAAACAGGTGGCTTAAACCAAGAGGGCCAAATGTCCAAAGCAAGTCCAAATGTTAACGTCAACGCCAGGCTTTGACTAATTTTCTTCTTAGCTGGAGGAAAATAGTTCACGGGGGACCAGAGACTCTCTTGCAAGAGCCGTACCGAAATGGCCATTCCTACGGGCAATGCTCAGGTTGCCCCCGGAGGCAAGAGTGCCTGCGTCGTTTCGGACTGCCACGCCTCCCCGAGACCCCTGCTCCTACGGGGCTTCTACTGAGACCCCTTTGCCTGGAATGGCTCCTCAGGAGCCTCGGCACTGATCCGTGGCCGCCGCTCCCTCCCCAGGACACGTCTGACGGGGAGCTGCAGGCTCCACTCGACCTGCTCACCCTTTGCTGGCCTTCTGCTGTCGTGAGCCACTTCGGCTTCACTCCGCTGCTGACGAGCGGCTTTTGCTCGGGGACGAGGCAGGCGTAGGGTGGCTCGGCCGGCTCGGCCCCCACGCTCTCGGATACGGTCCTCACTTCCGAGGGACTGGGCTTCTGCTCGGGGATGCGGGCGACGCGGAACCTGGCCAAGGACACAAGCATCAAGCGGCGATTTCTAGAGATCGGACCAGGCGCCGAGCAGCGGAGAGGAACCTAAAGCCACTGCGGCTGCCCGGCGGAAGCAGAGCCGAAGAGGCAACCTGCGGAGCGGTTTGCTCTGGATGACATGTGGACCAGGTGTGTAGGAGCCGCGGGAGTCGGCTGGACTGGTAGGCACCGCTGCTCCAGGGCTTCTCTCCTGACCACTGTGGCCTGGGACCCGTGCCGCTCAGGAGCTCTCTCCACAGGACTAAATCCAGCCCTTCGAGACATGGAAGCAGCCCCTGGGGTTCCCTGAAGGCCTTGTTGCTCTCTCCCCGACGCCGATCGGTACACAGTTTTCCCAGCTTTTGTGCAATTCCCAGTCCTCCTGTTGCCAATTGCAGCACCGCAAAACACCCCAAAAGTAGTTGGCCAGAGGAAGTCCCCAAAAGTAGTTGGCCAGAGGACGGCCACATAGCAAAAACACCACAGTTATGCTGTCCCAGAAGGGAGGGTGGATAAGAACAAACTGAACTTTGTGTAACCCACAGCTAACACGCCAGCCTGACCTCGAATACAGCAATCAAAAGGGCAGTGGAAACGGGTTGCAGCCGCCATGGAAGCTGCACATGCGCAGGGAGAAAGAGCACGGCAAGCCCGTGTGAATCTCGAGCAGATGAGAAATAGACGTGGGAACTGTCTGGTCCTTGGCAGAAGAAAGGACTTTCTCCAGACGGGAGGGGTGCGTACATTGATGCATCGATGCATTAGAAGTGTGCTAGGTGACCAGATTGGTTGCCTAGGGCATAAAATGCCTGTACCGGGTGCAGCTTTCGAGACACTGCTTTGGGCTGAATGTCCCCTTTTGTCTCCCTTTATTCTATAGTGCACTAGAGTAAAGCTGGCTTTGGCCCCAAGTCTCGTCTCAGGCTCCTTTTGACTTGGGTCTGGGGTCCACCTGGGGTCCCCCTAAGCTGTTGACCAGCTGAGTTCGGGAACACTCCGAAAGGGCTGGAATGTCTCTCTGAAGGCTCTGCTGCGGGCAGGAAGGCCTTCAAGCTACAATATGCTGGAATTGCTGGTACTTGTCTTGCCCATCACTGGAATGGTTTCCCCCCGCCCCCAAGAGTTCCTGAAAAGCAGAATCCGGCCCTTGGGCTGAAAGAGGTTTGGGATTCTTCCTATAAGAGGAGCTTTCCCATCCTGGACTCCTCCAGGTGGGTTGGACTACAACTCCCATGATCCCCATGGCCACGCTGGCTGAGAATCATGGGAGTTGCAATCCTGAGCACTTTTGTCTGAAAAGGCTTTAATTTGAGCCTGGCAGAAATGGCAGCCTGACCTTTGTTTCCCTTCTCCCCATCCGCTTTCCCATTTTTCTTGCCCATTTTTCACAGCCTTGAGGACTAGAAAGTTGACTGTTCTGGAAAGTGGCATTCAGCCCTCGGTGCAACTGCTCAGTTTGCGTGGCGTGGCCACAAAGCTTCCGAGAGTGCGTGGCACGGATTACCTGCCCACAGAGAGAATGGTGATCTCGCCCGGCCGGCCGGCCTTGTTCCCCGCCTTTGTGAGCTTTGAGCCGGCGGCACTGCCGGGGGCGGTGGGGGCCGTTTCCGTGGAGGGGGCCACTTCCGGCCACTTCTTCTGGCTGCATCGGGTGCAGGTGGGGCCGGAGCGCGTGGCCAGGCCCTGGACTGTGTGCAGGTGGTGCTGGTGCCGGCAGATGTGGGGAAACTGAGGCAGGAGGTGCAACCTGAGGGAGGAAGGTGAGGGAGACTGTTGTGAGGAAGGGCAGGAGATCGCCTGAGGCGCACCCCATGGGCTTGCTGCCCCCGAGCATCATGTCTGCACCCGTAAGGCGGGGCAGATCCTGCAGCATGAGGCTTTCGGGCTTTTTGCGGGGGCCCGGCCCCCGTGCCTGGACTTGCTGCACTGAAGACTGGGAATCGAAGGCGTCCGTCGGTCGTCGCCCTGCAGCTTTCTTCAGCCCCGTGCCTGAAGCTGGCTGAGGATGATGGGAGTTAAACTCCAGGCATTTGGAGAGCACTCCCTTTGCGAGGGCTGATTTAGGAGTGCCGGCCGACGGCCTCAGAGGGCAGGCCATCTTTTGGGGCCGCTGGGCGCATCCGGCCATTGGGGGGCTGTTCTGGGCACCGTCCAAAATGGGCCAGTGTACCAGGCGTGGCTGGCCACGAGGGACCACCAGCCCGGCCAAAGGACTCGCTGCAAGGCAGAGGCGGGCCCTGAGCCCCAACACACTAAGCACCCGCTTTGACCCCAGTGCCGGCATTTTGATCGCCAAAAATGAAAGCCCAGGCGTGGGCCGAGGATGGTGCCCGAAGGCACACGGCTGCCTGAGCGTCTCGTACTGCCTAACCCCCGCTTAGGAAGCCACAGGCTTGAGCTCCAGTCAGCCATGAGGTTCTCGGCCTAGCCTACCTTGCAGGGTTGTTGTGAGGACGAAAGGCTTGTGCGTGGGAGAGCCACGCTTCCCCTCCTATAGTGCTGCCTAATTTTAAAGGCCACCGGGCAAGCCTCGCCTCCAACACCCCGAGGGGGGCTCCCAGAAGCAGAAGCCGCTGAAAACCAAAGGGCGTGCTACCGGAAGAGAAGAAAGGCTTGTGCATGTGCAGAGTGCAGGGGGAAAGAGAGCTCCTAGGGTCTTACTTGTTCACGGGCTTGTAGGTCAACTGCAGATTCTGCTTGCTGTGGTAATCCTTCAGCATCTCCTCCAAGACTGCCGCGTTCTCTGTAGGCGGCAAAGGTGGGCCATTAGCCAAGGAAGCCGCAGACCACCGTGCCCCTGGAGACACCCTGGCGGGCTCCCCTCCAAGCGACAAGGCTGTGCCCAGGCCGTGCGACCCCAGTGGCAAGTCTGGGGCACACCCGGTTGCGGCCCCATAGCAAAAGCGTGGCAACGGGCCAGTCTGGTTTTTTGATTTATTTCACTTCTGTGCCACCCAATGGCCTAAGCTTTCTGGTTGGCATGCAAGGATTCACAACATTTAGTAAAAATGTAAATACCATGAAAACATCCTAAAATTTCCCTAGAGATGTAAAGCCACATATTAAACGTCTAAAAATGAACAAGACGGGTCCGTATGACCAGGCCTGTGCAAACAGCGGTTTTCCACCTACGTGCTGTTTAGTGGGGTTAAATGGCTTGGCATTTCAGCCTGGTGCTGAAAAGAGAGCAGAGCTGTGCCAGGCGGGCTTCTCGGGGTGAGCGTTCCATAATTGGGGGCTAGCACAGAGAAGGCCCCGTGCGCGTGTCTGTGTGTGTTGGGGGTGGGGTGGGGGGTGACTTCTGCAGCTTGAATCATGGAAATGGCACAGAGGGGCAGGATGAAAGCCTCTCCCCATATCACTCCCCATCTGGTCTTTTTTTTTTTAAGATGAGTGACCATTAGGGCTCCAAATACTGAATCCATGTAAGGATTTCATGAGGACTGTCAGCGCACAAGAGCTGTTGGTTGTCATCTTAGGAATGCAAAAGGATGGGGGTTAGGACAACGTTTAGTTTATTATTTAAGGTTTAAGTCTATTTATTATTTACTGGTGCCAACTCAAATTACAGTAGTTCCACTGAAAAAAATGGGGGAAATCCATTGTTCCTGCTGGGAAATAAAGGGCTGGTCTCTAATAAAAAGCCTACAATACACTTCCTTTATGAGATTCAGGGAGGGAAAATTTGATAGAATGGAATAATGAATATGCTCGATAGACTATTTTGTTATTGAAGCAGGAATATGAACTGGCAAGGATAGATTTATACAAACAAGGCAATTAAAAATCATTGGATATTACAGCTTTCTTTGGTTTTGGGTTGAATTCTGAAGTTTTTCTGCTTAATTGTAACAGGATCTGACTCTGGATTAATATTAAATTGCATTATTCTAAGTATGTATACAGTAAAATTAGCAACAGTGTGAGGCTCTGTCATGTGCAAATGAGACAAAACAGCATCCTTATTGGGTTTCACTCCAGGAACCAGGCCCAGTCCAGAGCAAGGGCTACCCGGTCCATGAGCGCCTCTTTTGGCCTGAGAATCTGGGGCGGCCGTTCCCTGACGTTGCTTCTCTGCTTGTTGGCAGCTGGACGTGCGTGTCTATTGGGGGAGCTTATCTGATTTTCCCATTCAAAAATAGTTTACGGCAGAATCCACTTTTCAGAACTAAGTATCTGGAAATGATTTGAGGAAACCTGCTTGAAGATTGAGGGACCCTGCTGGCTTACGCGGACGGATGCAGTGCTTTTATTCCCAGAAAAGTCTTGCAGATCTCTGGATGGGGGCCCCAATCCCCCAGATGGTCCAGCTGTTTTTGGCAGAAAAGGGGGTGTGTGTGCAGGGGAGCTATAAAACCTTCCTTTGAAATCCATGGGGCGCAAATGGGGCGCAAATGCTCAACTCTGGCTAGATGTTGGCGGGTCCCAGGAAGTGCCGAAGGCCAGGACACGCAGTTCCTGTTGCAGGGCTTACCCTTCTTCTCCGTGATCAGGCGCACGAGGACCCCGATGGTGTCTTCGTTGGCATCCTCTATTCTGAACGCAGGACTGCTTCCTGTGGACGGAGGCGGGGGGAGAGGCGGCATGAGGGGAGTCCCTTGCAAAGCCCCTGCTTGCTATGAAGGTGGTCCCAGTTCACCTCTGACTCCCCCGCCCCCCGTCCCCAAAGGGCAGAATGCTGCTGCTTGCATCACCTTCATTTCGGGAGTATTTAGGGGTCCTCTTGGCTCTGCTCATTCCCCAAGACTGGGCTGAGCATGAGAGGAGGCCCCGGCCCAGGTCAGATCAGCCCTAGCTGGGGGCAGCTGCGGGGTGTAGCTTTGTATGCAGAAGGCCACTGGCTCAACTCCCAGCTTCTCCAGGCCGGGCTGCAAAAGGCACTGCTGCCCATCAGAGCAGGCAGTACTGCTCTAAATGGACCAAGCGTTAGACAGCTCCCTCCTGAGCCTCCCTCCACGGCCAAGCCAGCGGTTGGTCCTGGGACCAGGGTGCCAGGTATGCGTCTGACCACTGAACCAGATGCATCCCCAAACGGAAAAACGTGCACGCGCACCGGGGTTCAGCGCCTGGGGGCTGCACAGTGGGGACCCCGCTCGCTTCCCCACCTCTCCCGCGTTATGCCTTTGGCTGAGTGTGGCAGCCGCTTCTCCTGCCACGGAAAGCCCTTCCGCGTGGCACGTGGCGTGAAGCAGAAGACCCAGTGCTGTTTGCAGGGATGTTGCCTGACCTGCTTCCCACACATTCAGTCAGGCACCCACGCAACAAGGGCCCAGCGGAGGGCGACAAAAATGACCCAGGGCTTGGAAGCGCTGCCCTGCGGGGAGAGACTGGGGGAACTGGGCCTGTTCAGCCTTGAGAAGAGGAGGCTGAGGGGGGACATGAGATCCCTCTGTAAGTCCCTCAGAGGCTGTCACAGAGAAGAAGGTCAGGAGCTCTTCCTGCTGATGCCAGAGTGCAGGACACGGAATAAGCAGTTCAAGGTGTGACAACCCAGATTCAGGCTGGGCATCAGGAGAAGCTTCCTCACTGTCAGAGCAAGACGGCAGTGGGACCAGCTGCCTGGAGAGGTGGGGGCTCTCCCACACTGGGAGCATTCAGAAAGCAACTGAACAGCCTTCTGAGTGGGATGGTGTGACTTGGTGTCCTGCAGGGGCAGGGGGTGGACTAGATGGCCTTCATGGCCCCTTCCAGCTCTACAATCCTGTGATTCTATGACCCCGCACTGAAGTCCATCATCCTATTGCTGATGGGCGGCTGGAGCAAGAGGAGGGGCGGTGTGCCTGCAGTCCCCGAGCGAGTTCACGGCAAATTCTGTACTGGAACCACGGGTGGGCCTCACAGCCCCACCGGGGCCGGCCGGCTCAGCTCAGCACTCCCCACCCATGGAGAAATGCCTCTGCCAAAGTCACATTCTGGGTGCGACCGTCTCACCGGCTCCGTGAACAGGCGGGAGAGGGGCAGCCAACGCAGAAAGCTGCAGCATCTTTTCTGATGAATCTTTCCTGTAAGACGATACGGTGGAGGGGGAGGGAGAAGCGAGGGGGTGGGATGCAGCCAGCAACTGGTGTACTACCCCCGCTTCTTCCCCCCAGCCCCAGCTGCTACTGGGTGGGGGGGCAGCCAGTGTGACTTGTCCCCATCCCTCATGAAGCGGCTCAGCCTTTGGAATCCCACCTCCGAGGTCACCGGAGCTCAGGGTGGGCACTCCAAAGAATCCAGCGGCTTCCCGGCCTGCGTTTGAGGTCACGGAATGGCACCCTTTTGGAATGCATTGGCTGCTTCATTTTCTGCAGAGGGCTCAGTGTGATAATGAACAAGGAATGCATTTTCCAAGAATATGTAAGTAATTATTTAAATAGCTCATATTTTCAACTGGGGGAAAGTTACTTGAATATCACTTAGCAGGGACAGAAGGACTATAGTTTGATCACTATTCAAATAACATGCAAAGAACCATTTCAGGAATGTTTCCCCCACTAGCTGATAGATGAGAATTAGAAACATAGAAACAGAGAGAGTCAGCAGGGGCCTCCTGGGCCATCTAGTCTGACCCCCGGCTCCTGCTGGCTCTGCTCACGACATGCCCACCATGTGCACGTCCAGCCTGTCCTTGAACACCCGCACCGATGGGGCCTCAACCACCTCCCATGGAAGCCCATTGCACACCCTCGGGGTCCTGACTGTCAGGAAGTGCCTCCTGGCATCCACCCTAAATGTTGGTTCCCTGAGCTTGGCTCCGTTGGAGCGCGTCCTGCCCTCTGCAGGGGAGAACAGGTCTCTACCCACCTCCGTGTGACACCCCCTCACATACCTGTATGTTGCCAACAGGTCCCCTCTGAGTCTCCTCTTCTCCAGGCTGAAGAGACCCAGTTCCCTCAGTCTCGCCTCATACGGCATCCCCTGCAAACCGGCCACCAACCTTGTGGCCCTTCGCTGCTCTGACTCCAACCTGGCTACATCCTTCCCGTAATGAGGGGCCCAAAACCGAGCACAATACTCCAGTTGCGGGCGCACCAGAGTCGTGTAGAGTGGCAGCAACACCTCTCTCAATCTAGAAGCCACACTTCCGGCTGTGCAACCACGGGTGGCGTTTGCCCTCTTGGCCGCTGCACCACACGGCTGGCTCATGTTCAGCCTGCAGTCAACCAGCACCCCGAGGTCCCTTTCACAAGTGCTGCTCTCCAGCCACGCGTCCCCTAACCTCCACTTGTGCTGCCCATCCCGTCGAAATCCTTGACTCACCTGTGAATTCCCGTTCTCCTTGTGCACTCATAGGAGAAAGGCATTCAGCTGCGGCGTTTGAGCTGCTTTTCTTAGGAGCACGCGCATGGCAGTGCAGCCTCAGGGCATGACGCAAAGCATGCTTTGGCAGAAAAAAGCCCGCTGGACGGTGTGTGTCCTGGCACGCACAGGATGGCGCTGTGGCGGCTTCCGCTTTTGCACGCCTGGGCACCTTAAACGCACCCTTCCCCCTCTGGGCCCCCTCTCTGCTCACCGCTGCGCTCCCCTTTGGCCGCCTCCTCATCGGCATCCTTCTGGGCCGTGCAGTGGTACCCCTTCTTCATGAGCAGGTTGCAGAAGAGTATCCCCAGCAGGCCCATCACGCAGAAGACCGGCACGATGGCCAGGACGGCGTACTGCGTGGCCTTCTCCTCGGGCTTCCCGTCGTGCGTGCCGTTGGCCGCCATCTTGCTGTCTCGCCTCTGCAAGGCCTCGGCGTTGCGGGCCAGGCGAGCCGGCCACCTTCTTGGTCCTGAACGGGTTAGAGGGAGAGATGAAGGCGGTGCCCCGTCACGGCCCGAACATCAACAGAAAAGGCACAGGAGGAACCCGCCAGAGGGTACTGGTGCTCCTTCCACTGGGCGATGCCCCGGTGGCAGAGGGCAGCATCGCTCCTGGGTTTGGAAGGTCACAGGAGGGTCCCCGCTGGCCGGAAATTTCTTTAAAGACCACCCGGTGCTCTGCCGGAGCTGAACAGGGGTGGGTGGGTGGATGGCACTGCATAAAATAGGTGAGATCGAAATACTCCGGGGGCAGATTCAGGATGCCCAAAGGCCAACAGCGCACAGGGTGTTGCCAGAAGGAGCTGCAGCGTGGGAAAGCACTGCCAGGGAGCCGACGGCACTTCCCGTGCGCAGGCCACGCGGGGAGTTTTCAAGCAGCCTGAGGACCCGATTCATTCGGGAGTGGCGCTTGGGGGCTGCACCCCAGTGGCTGAGGGGCTAAACACCCAGTGGATGGAAGCTTCAAGCTCTCACTCCCAGTGATGAAGTCTTAGGGAAAAATCCGCTATTGGGCACAACATTTCTATGCCACTCAAACTCCAAAGAAGGGAGAGTAGCACACATGGGTTCTCCAAACTCATTTTCACAACAACCCTGCAGGGAAGGTCCTGCTGAGACCTAGTCACTTGCTTAGTGCTGTCCAATGAGTTTCCTTCCTGTTCTTACCAAACACTTTCCAGTTCTAAGGACATTGCCACTGTTCTTACTACTGCATTGCCCTTTTAACCATGAGGAACCCAAGGTGGCTTTCCATTTTATCCTCACAACAACAGCCCTGTGAGGCAGGCTGGGCCGAGAGACAGCGACTGCCCCAGAGTCACCCAGTTGGCTCCATGGCTGAGGAGCGACTAGAACCCGGGCCTCTGGGGGCCCAGTCCAACTCTCCAACCACCGCACCACAGGGGCTCTCCTGTATCCCTAAAGAACCCGAGGCTCAGCACCAGCTATTCCGCGGCTTCCAGGATGTCTCTCCGGCTCACTGCCCTGCCGGTGGACGGTTTGCACTTTCTCCTCTTTCTTTAAGCCCCCTTCACTTTGGAATTTGGTCCCCTTTTGGGGCACAGAAGTAGCTTTGTCCTCTTTGCTGCAGCCAGCAAACCTCAATGGACTCTTCTTTAGAAAAGCATAGGAAGGTTTTATGAGGTCTTGTTGCTTAAAGTTCCTCCCCCATCAAATCTACCACTTGTTCTGTTTTAGTGCACCCACACCCACTCTATCTAGTTAAACGCCTTTTGGGCATTCGGAAGCAGGGAGGGCATGCAGATTCCAATTAACAGATGTCTCAATGACATATCCTGTTCGTTGGCGCCACCCTTTTATAAATCACATTTAATCCAGAGATTTATTCTATAATTCCCTTGGTGTTTACTGAAATGCTCTTCTAAAACCCAGTCTTATCGTCGGAGCTGACAAGTTGTCACGTCTGTTGCTATGATTTAGCCCCAGATGACAAACGTGTGGAATTAACTTTGTGATTGCGTCCCTTATGCATTAACAAAACAAAATATGCCAGCGCTGCACAGCAACACAACAGAACAAAAAACAAACAACTAAAGTAGGAAAAAAACACCGCACATGTGTTGAACTTCTTAAAAGTACAGGGCAAGTTGAGTTTTCCGTGCAAAAGGCTCCCCGGTTGAGTCCTGGGCACTTCCAGGGACTCCCTCCTGCCATCCCAGTGAGCGGCTGCCAGTTTGTGCTGACGGACTGGATGGGATGGAAGACGGCTGGGCTAACACAATGACAGCATCCCGTGTGCCTGCGACTGTCACAGGCTGTCATGGCAACCAGAAAAGAGCAAAGCGTGCTGTGGAAACGGAAGCCAGATCACGGACCCGGTGGGTCAATGGAGCCGAGAGGGAAAACGGCCACCGATCAGGCCTGAGAATGGCTAGTAGCGATATTATTCGGATGTTCTGCAAGAAGCGAGAGGCTGGAGGGCAGCCAGTCCGACGAAAAGGGTTCGCACGGAAATGACTCAGAGCAGTGAGGACGAGGAAGGCCAAGGAGACAAGGAGCCGAGGAACAGGAAGAGCAGGGCAGAAAGGGGATCTGAGGGAAGACCCCACATAGGTGTGGGGAAACGAGCAGCCGGGTGCTTTCAGCAATGGGAGGGGAAGAGGGTCCCTGGCAGGGAGGAGGACGTCCGGAAAACGGGCTGAAGGGACTGAGACTAAAGGACCGGGGTCTGAAAAGCTGCTCCGGAATGGCCTCTGAGAGAGCATAAAGGTGATTAAGGTGCGGTGAAAAAGGCAAACGCCATGCCAGGCATCGTTGGGAACAGACCTGAAAGTGGCACTGCCAAGATCGTCTTCCCAATTTACAAATCTTTGCCGCAACCCCACCTACAATATCACGTTCAGTTCTGGTCATCTCACCTGAACAAGGACAAGTCTGAGTTGGAAAAAGTGCGGAGACGGGGAACCGAGACATAAGCCTCTTAGTGTTTGTTGTGAGGATAAAGTGGGATATACATCTAATAAATAAATAAATAAAATAAAGGAAGAGGAAGGGGCTGGAGAAATCCCCCTTTGATGAGCAGCTATGACAACGCAGACAGTTCAGCTTAGAAAAAAGGCAAGGCAGGGGAAACATGAGAGAGGTGTTTGAAACAATGGAGAAAGTGGAAAGGGTGAGTTTTTCTTCCTTTCCCATAATAATCCATCCTGAGTATATTTCATGAAGCTGAAATAAAGCACAGGCAGGAGGAAATACTTTGTCACACAATGTATTAGTGGAACGGTGGAATCTGCCCCCACGGAAGGTGGGGGTGGCCGCCAATCTGGGTGGCTTTGAAAGGGAACTGGGCCGATTCATGGGGGAGAGGCTCTCCGTGGCCACTAGCCCTGCTGGCCATGGGCTCCCTCCTTCACCAGAGGTGGCCTGCCGGCATGCACCTGTTGCTGGGGAGCTGGGCAGGGGGAGGTCCTGCACCCCTCCCGCTGGAGGGGCCCTGTGGGCGCTGGGTGCGTGGAGGGCTGGGCTGGAAGCAGCTTGGGCCTGCTCCAGCGGTGCTCGAAAGCACATTCCTCGTCTCGGCCTCACCCAGAAATCACAAGATTGCACAGCTGCTGACAGGCACCGAAACGACCCGAGGGCAGCACCTGGCACCGCGCAGGAGAAGAAGCGTGATTCAGGCCGCCCGGCTCTTGCGTGTGGTGGCAGGCGGCCTGCTTGGAATCCACCTTCCTGGGCCATCAAGTTCAACACACAACCATCTTGTTAAGAAATACAGACACAGCGGCCAAGACAGGACCCGGGACAGAGCAAGCCAAGCTTGTCCCGGAACCCCAGGCTGGTTCCTGCGTGGCTTGCCCAGGCTGGCAGCCACAGAGGAGTTGGGCTTCAACCGGGCTCCTTCCCAGACCGCACGGCTCATGGCCACACGGGCCAGAAATGAAGCGAGCCGTGAGCCATCCTGGGTTTTGCCCCAGCAAAGCTGCTGCTGGAGCAGGAGAGAGGTGGGAGGCACTGGAGAGCGTCCCGGCGTCTGTCTGATTGCAAATCCATCAGTCGTGTTGTGGTTGCTGCGAAATGTGAAGTTTTGTCTTTGAACAGCCCAAAACAAAAAGAGCTGAAGTGTCAGGAGGGAGGGAAATTACGAAGGCACCTCAATTTTCCTGGATAGTGTGTAGTTTTGAAGCGCTCAGCGGAACTGGGGAGGGTGGGACTTTTTGGAAGGCATTCATTCACGGGGCTGCCATAAGTAGTTGGAGATGGCTTGCAACACCCCGTGCGTGAGAGAGAGAGAGAGAGAGAGAGAGAGAGAGAGAGAGAGAGAGAGAGAGAGAGAGAGAGAGATTTACTGTTGATGGTTTCGTTTTTCTGAATTTTGTAATCTGCCTTGGTTTGTTCCAGAAAGGTAGCAGATGTGGTTTTTTTAAGGGCAAAAGAACACGCCCAGCTATCGGTAATTATTGGCCTTTTTTCTCTGCCTAAACTTGAGCCAAACTTTCTTCCAGTCACTGCGTGCATTTCAATTCTTCAGGAGGGGGAAAAAGCATTCAGGAAGCGGGAAACCTTGAAACAATCAGTGCTTGGGGGAAGGAAGGAGGGAGCCGCGAGGGGCTGGGGGGCGGGGGGGGGCTGGGATCCCAGGCAAGCCGATCTGGCATTCCGCTCTCCGGTGTTGGAGTAGGGACAAGAGGCCGGCAACGGTGTGTCGCCATCAAACGTATGCCGAGCGACCCAGCTCGCCCACGTCCAAATGCCAGAGCGCGCTGACTTAGCAACAGAGCGCTGCAGAGCAGCTGCGGGGACGGGACGGCACGGCACGGCAGCCGGCAACGGCTCGGGGACCCGCTTCTGTGCTCGCCGCGAGCCTCGAGCACTTCCTTCTCACCTCGCCCGTTACAAGGCGTTGCGCTCAGTGGCAGGGCAATTAGAAAAACTCAGCCAGTTAACGAAGCGGCATACCCAGACTCGAGCTCAGAGAAACTTTCAATTTGGCCATTCAGCCTTCACGATACACCTTGGGTCTCTGAGACAGGACAAGCGGATGGAAACCAAATCAGGAAGCGCAGCGGCGTGAGGAGTGGACGGGCGTGGGGAATAAAGCATAAGGACTCTGGGTATGGAGAGCACGGAGCCTCCCTGAAGGATAACCCTGGATGGGGTGTCTTATCAACCACCATCCTCATCCTGGTGCCCTCTGGGTGGGGAGCTGCAGAGCGCCTGGTGGGGAGCGGCTTCAAGAGACCCAGGATGGCTCTCTGCTTCCTGCGCAGTCCGGTTCTAACCTCAACGGGTCTGGAATGCGCTGCTCTTCTGCTCTCGGGACAAAACCTACTGAGCGACTCCATTTCCAGCCCGTCCTCCTTCCCTGCCGACCTCGCAGGGGCTTGGGTGGTCTCCCACTGAGGCTTCGGCAAGACGGCTGCCTCCCTCCTTGAGGGACGGCAGCGTGTCGCTCAGTCAGGAGGGAAATAAAAGCATCGTTTCTGCTCTCACCTGGGCACCCTGGCGTGGATGATGGGCAAGGCAGGCATGTGGCTCTCGGGTCGGTCTCTCCTTCGGGGCTGTAATACCTGCAATGGGAAGGAACATGGGTTGGGTAAGTGCCTGGGCTGGAGTCACTCCGGATCCCACCAAGACTAGCCCCCCACCCCTTTCCTTAATCCTGGCCCTGCCCTCCCCTCCCTCGGCTTGCCCCGCACTGCAGCCCCTCCCATCCCGTCTTGAAGTCCTGTGCACAGATTACACCGAGCCGCACTGCATGCCGTGCAAACCCAAACTCATTCTGCCTTGTGTGAATGGTCACACGCACACCCGGGAGGGGAACCCAAGTGCTTTCCAAACTTGAGGAGTCCCCAGCACCCCCTGGACTGTGGTTCCAAAAGAGGTGGGGCAGATCCAGCAGCTGGATGGCCCGGCGGGAATTTCAGGCGCGCAAGATGCTGCCTGGTTCTAGACGTTAGCCCATGACAGGGCATTAGGGTCACCAGCACGGACCGCCTTTTCCTCCAAGACCGATCTAGTCCCTTTTTCAGGCAAACCTAGGGCTTCCTAGGTGACGCGGATAAAAGCACTTCATCATCTTCCTACCTCAACAAGGAACCAGCGTTGGGGGTTATTTTTGACCCCAGATGAAAGTTCCTCGAGCACAAAAAATGCTGCCTATGAAAAACCTTTGTTCTGACTGAACCTTTCCCCTAGGAAGTTCCAATCAGCATAAAGATGGCTCTGAGCTCCCAATCATTACAGTTAATTTCAGGTTTGATCCTTCCTGAGGCTTTGAATAAACAAGATCTGCTTAACAGCACTTGGCCTGGTGAACTTTTTTCTCCGCATAACCATAAGCTGACCAAGTAACTTTCAAAAATCATGGCAAAGGTTTCCCTCAGTGGATTTTAATTTGGTCTGCTGGAGGTTTTTCCTAACAATTGTATCTTTCAAATAGACCAAGATGATCTGACATTTGTTCCTTTGTTTGGGGCCTGTTCTTTGAGGTATAAATGTACCCCACACAGCTATTCCTATGGAGATTCTGGGCTCCTTCCATTTTGGTTTATTAAAAAACAAAACAAAACACGCAAAAATGGACCGAACTGTAAAAGGCTAACATGTCCGGATCTTCTAGATGAGGCATTTTGTGAGAACTTCCTGGAAGGACCAGGCAGCGGGACTACATATGTGTAAGTTACAGTACAGAAAGTGGGGGAGGTCAGTCGCCCCATAACTCTGTTCGCTGCTGCTGTGCCGCATTTTGGTGTGGGGGGGGGGGTTCAAGAAGCCCACTTAGAATACAGGGCTGACAGCTAAGCAGGCAGGGAGACTTTCGCACGGCACCCCGGCCAAAACCAGCACGTGGAAGAAAAGCAAAAGCCAGAGTGGGGAATACAGATTCGTCCGGCTTCCTCCGCCCTGCAGGCAGCTGCCCTGGCAGAGCCGGTATGAGTAAGGCCGCATCCAGTCTCTCCTCCCTCTGGCCCACAGCATCCGGGTGCCGCTGAGTTCAGCCAAGAGCGGCTCTGACTCACTGCAGCTCTCCCGCTCCTTCCCCACCAACTTCCTGCGCAGATGCCGGGATCCCGGCTCTGCCCACTGCCTGGAAGTTGCATTGTTTGCCGAATGGCGCTTTTTGGCTTTACGGCTTTGTTGCAAGGGGCTGCCCTCCTAGCAGATCTTCATGGGTACCCTCTGATCATTAACACATCAGGGCTGTCGAAGCATTGCCTGGGACACATGTCAGTGCTCAAAGCCAACTAAAACGACATAATCTTGTTGGCTACACAGTGAGGAATGCAATAGGTCTGGTTTAAAATCCCTGAAATATATTTATTTACAATGAAATCACAGTGCTAACAGAGCCCTTGGGCCATCGGAGGCATCTCTCCGCCCACCCTGATTTAGCTTCAGTGATGCTGGAATGTGAAGAGGCTTTGGAGCACTTTCTGCATCCCATCTGGCAACCTCTGGATCCTCCAGGATGCTTGGATCCTGACCCAGCCACCAACAAGTCAACCTGTTCTCCACCCTGGTGCCCTCTGGGGGGCTGGGAGATGCTGGGAATTGTGATTCAGCCCCTCCAGAGGGCACCAGGTGGGCGATAGCTGACCAATTCTGAGTCAAGTCCTGCCTTGCAGCATATTTCAAGATCCCAGTCCAGAGAAATGTTTTCAAACCGGGTTCTTCAGAAACTTATGAAATGTTCCTCAGCACGGCATGTTTCACCCTGCTGAATTTGGCAACTGCAAAATTTTTGGCACTGTGGAGCAAGAAAAGGGTCCAGTTCACAAGTGCAGGCTAAATGAACCCTTTGAGCACCACGAGTGTTTCGCCACCGAATTTCAAGGGCAAACCACCAGTTCTTGACAGCCACGACTGCGGGGGCAGCCCGAGCGGCCCATTCCGACCTGGGGCAACACAACATCTGGACAGGGGTTATATAAAGAATGCTGTTCTCCCTGTCCTGCCCCAGAAGCCTTTGCATTCCTTGGCAGAGGAACCGTAGGTGCCGCCGTAAGCAGCCTCCACATTCCTGGAGTGCAGAAGTCGGAAAAGCCCGCCAGGCCTGCCCGTAAGGTGAGCCCTGGCAGAGCAAGGAGGCTGAGGAGGCATGGATCTTGGGGGACATTCTGATCTTGGGGGACACTCCTCGGAACTCTCAGCAGGGACCCCGGCCAAACCGCCTCAAGGAAAACTAAGGAGGGAGCACTGGGCCTCTCCGCCATCTTATCCCAGGCTGCTGCCCGAGGCAAACCTAACAAGAGCCACTGGGGATCCCACCAAGGCCTGTGCCGTCCGTTAGCCTGTTCCCCGAGTGGACACTCAGCTGGCCTGGGAAACCGACAGGCTGGACGTGAGTGAGGTCATGGCCCCCTTCAGCTTTCGTTCCCCAGCGACGGGGACATGCAGGCACGCGGCCTCTGATACGGGGGGCCGACTGGGGCCCTTGGGAGTGGAGGTAGCCTAGGGCCGGCAGGACTAGCAGCCCCTGCCAGGCTTCCCCCCAGGGAATCTGTCCGGCCCCTTCTGCAGCCAGCCTTCCAAGATGGCGGCCATCACCCCATCCCAGCTAAGCTGCGTCTCAGAGGAAACGCGGGGAGCCTGCCGGGATCCACATCTGGGCGAGGGGCTGCCCCAGGCCTCGCCCGCGTACAGGCCGGCGAGTCCCGCGTGAGCCTCGGCACGGGCCGGAGGGGCGCTCCCGGAGCACGGGCTTTGCTGCGGGTTCTGTTTCCCCTGCAAGAGAGCAGACGGTGAGGCAGCGGCCAGCGTTACCCAGGCATGCAGTGCCCACACACGGCGTCCGCCGTGGCTGTCCCGGGGCTGGCAGGGACCCTCTTCTTGCCCTCACAGCGGGTGTGCGACGAACAGCGCTCCAGTCCGAAGCTAGGCGAGAAGGAGCCTGCCGAGCAAGGCTTGCAAGTCATCCCCCGTCCTTCCCCAAAGCCACATTTCTATGGGGCGGAAATCAAACAAAAGCAGAGTGAGATGCTGCGGCGCGTCGGGGGGGCCGCGGTGCTCCTCAGCGCTCGCCAACCCCTCCTCCCGCCGTTTTCAGCACCCGACATGCAAGAAACAGCAGCTGCCAGGCTCTCCCCAGCCACCCCCTCGCCTTCTGGCAGAACTGCTGTGGTGCCACGGGATCCTAGCAAACACTCCAACTTCTGAGAGGGCAGGTCATTTACTCAAGGCGACACTGCAGGCTTGCAGACCACATGGGTGGAAACAAAATTCCTTGCTAAGATTCTGGTTGCCCTTGCATGGTTATCTAGTTACATGGCTTAGAAAAAAAAGCTGCAGAAAGTTCTTTTAATAGGGAAAATCAGGGCAAATTTTGGAAGGGAAAGCTGACAAAATCAGACAGAAAAAGGGTCCCTTACGTTTCTCCCTTTTTTTGCTCAGTTAAGCAATTTAAGTCCTGTTTTGCTTCAAAAAATGTGGGCACCCATTTCCGTGGCCGCGTGGATTGGGAGTGGCAGCTCTCTGCATTACTGAGTTCAATATTCTGTGCTGAAGGCAATCCAGGTCTGGTGCTGAGCCACGTGGTCAAGTGCAATGAATGAATTGCACAATTCTTTCTGAACTTTGGAAAGCTGGGAGGAAGTGGTGAAGGAGCTGCATTTTGCAATGAATCCTCATGCCTGCCGTTGGGAAATCTCACTTAGCGGATCTCCCAGCTTTGAAAGCTTTACCAACATGCTTCCCAGAGTATCTTCAAACCCATGGGAGCCAGAAATACAATTCTGAGGCCCATTCTCCAAAAATAAATAAAATTCTGCTATTTAATAAAATGCTGCCTCCATTATCAGTCCACTGGGCCATGCATTAATACAAAGACTGGCAAAGAGAAAGACCCTACAGCCACAGGCGTTGTCTGAGGGGCTATGGGATTCTTCGGATTCCCAGATCTGAGGTGGGAGGCAGCGCTCTGCTCTCGGAGCTGGGAATCGGAGTTCTGCTCCCTCCGTGGGCCCTCTGCAGCCAGCTTGGAAGGAACGGCAGGGACTGCTCTCCGAAGCCAGGAAAGCGACCTTGGGGAGGGGGGGCAGAGGATTTGCTCTGCTTCCCTCCCCTTCTGAAAGGTGTGGCTAGATGGCATGAAAATGCAGAGCGGATGAAGCAAAAGGCATCTCTGCCAGCGCCCTCCTGCGACGACCACGAGCCCCATACGCCAGGGCTTGGGCGCAGCTCCTAGGCGTGTGCCCTGAGGTATTCACATGAACAAGGGCCTGGGTATGCAGGCAGGATTCAACAGGAGCCGGGATATAGCCGAGCATGGAGCCTGTCACACTGCAGGGGGAAGGGAATTCCAAAGGCAGCAGGAGCCACAACCGAAAAGGCCCTGTTGCCATCGGATGGCAGTGCGAAGGCCAACCAGGAGTCTCTGATCTGGAGGACTCCATAACCAGGCAGGTAAATGGGGGGAAGGTGCTCCCTCAGGTAGCCGGCCTCGAGCTGCTCAGGGCCTTATAGGTCAAGACCACCACCCTGATCTTGGCCCACTAACACGTCAGGCGGCTGATTTCTCTGAGAAATGGACTCTCTCTGCAGCAGGCTGCATGCTCAGCACCCTAAGCCCCGAATTCTACAGCAGCTGGAGTTTCTGGAGCGGCCTCTAGGGAACCGCCACGGAGAGCCCAGGGCAGCAATTCGGCCTGCTGCCAGGCAGGGAGACCCCTCCCCAGGGCAGAGACCTGCATAGCTGCAGGGGGAGATCCCAAGGCCGCCCACCTACCTGGTCCGGCTCCTCTCCTGGCGGGCAGCCCCGGCAGCGGAGACAGAGCCCTTCAGCGCCGCGGTATTCCTCTGCCCCGCAGACCTGCGCCTGTGCCTGCTGTGCGCAGAAGGCCTGAAAGCACAGATGGGAGAAAAGCACGTTCTCTTCAGGGGCAGGAAGCAGCCCCGCAATCCGAACCCGCAGCGACCTCGTGGTTGGTCTTGAAGCAGTGGGGCTCCCCTTGCCCGGCCCCGGAGCCACCGCCCCGAGGGCAGGGAGAAAGCCCGAAGGAGCGCCGTCTCCCCTCTGCGCCCTCCCGCCCCTTGAGATGTGGGTCAGAGGCCCTCCTTGAAAGAGATCAGGAGGGCGACCACCCGGAGGAGGGCCTTCTCCGCGGTGGCACCCCGACTGTGGAACACGCTCCCCAGAGAGGTCCGCCTGACGCCAACGCTTCTTTCCTTTCGGCGTCAGACGAAAACCTTTTTATTCTCCCAATATTTTAATGGTTAACCTGTTTTAATTGGTGCTTTTATATTTACATTGGATACTGTGCAGCTGCTACGTATATTTCTATGTCTATGCTATTTCATTAATTTGCTGTAAACCATCTAAGGGACAGCATGGAAAAGTTTTAAATAAATAAAGCAGGCCGTGCCGAGTCAAGGCAGCCAGGCCACTCGAGCAACAAGCCACTTCCTCCGCTTTTTGGAAAGAGACGGGCTCTTCGCTGCCCATTTGAGACCAAGCCATCCCCAGATTCTTCACAGTACAAAGAGCCGCATGGGGTGGCTGAGGAATTTCTTTCCCCGCAGCCATCGCAAGCACTGCAGCTTCGCTCAAGGGGAGCGGGAGACATGGGGAGGGGGACAGCTACTAAAAGGGGGCCACGTGTGTGATGCTGGGAAGGGTCGCCCACTGCTGCGACCGTGCTCCCCCCCCCCCAGCTTCCATGCGTCCCACATCCCGCGTTTGGCCCCGCAAAGAGGTGCTTGAGCTGAAGCCAGGTTCTCTGTGAGTCTTGCACCGTTTCAGTTGCTCCAAGCGGACTCCGTGCGGCTATTTATTTTATTTATTTATATTGCGATTTCTATCCTGCCTTTTTCCTACAAAGGGCTCGAGGCAGCTTACATCATTCTCCTCCTTCATCTTATCCCCACAACAACAACCCTGTGAGGTAGGTTGGGCTGAGAGTCTGTGACTGGCCCAAAGTCACCCAGCTGGCTCCATGGCCGAGCGGGGACTCGAACCCGGATCATTTGAGTCCCAGTCCCGTGCTCTTAACCACTACGCCACACCGGCTATGCGGCTTTTGGAAGCTTTCGTTTCCACGTCGGATGAAACACACAGGCTGCTGTGCCGTCGCCCAGACCTGGACAAACTGCGGTTAAACGTATCCACGCTTAATGGGAATCAACCCAGGTCAAACCACAGTCTATGCAGGCGAACGGCTTCAGCGAATCGCCGTGGCGAGAGAGCAGGGGAGCGTCCGAGCCGAGGGCTCATCCTTGCCGTGCAAAGCTTCCTCGCCGAACTGCTGACTTTCTCAAGTTCCTGAACGGCGCCCTGGCCCTGCAGCCTCTCCGGCAAGAGGCAGCCTGCCGCGGGCTGGAGATTATAGGGCGGCCGCGAGGGATAATGACCACCCCGTCCCCGACAGCACAAGCGGCGGCCCACGCTATAGTTAGACCCGCGTCGCCACCCGCCATTTCTGCAAGGTTTGCTTCCCTTGGAATTTACCCCTCCCTGGTGGAGTTCTGGGCTGTGCTTGTCCTCAGTCGGGAGTTTATTTTGGGAACGAGGGTGAAAGGGAAGCCAGCCTGCCCGGCCTAAGGGATGCTTCAATGAATTGCTGGTGCCGGTGGCATTGAGCTTCAGAGAGGCATCTGCCGGGTGGCTCGGATCGCCCAAGGTAACCACCACGGCCGTAATTCCCAGCCTGCCTGCCGAGGAACATCAGTGAGCCGCAAGAGCGTAGTGAGAGCTTGAGAAATCTGAACAGTCGGGAACCCCACTGCAGAAGCGTTATTCTTAGACTTTTAAAAAATCGACACTTTAACAATTAATTGGTTTTATCCTTGTTTTTATTACTATTTTTAGATGCAGTGTGCAGTGCATTGCTGCTGTTATGGTTTTTGTTCCTTAGTTTTTCGTTCCTTGTAAGCTGTCCAGAGACTTTATAAGTAATGGACAGCACAGAACTTTAAACTTTAAATAACTTTAAATAAATAAATAAATATCAAAATAAAATAAAATAAGAAAATAGCAGCTTCTGGGGCTAACAATAAGGTGTGTGTCCGATTTTAACTTGGACCGGGGGGGACTCAGCTTCTGGATTGCATTTAGGTATTATAGGTATTTAGGTGGGGGTGAGCTCCCCTGTGCAAAATACTCACAGGGGTCTCCCCAGAAGTTAAGAGAAGGTGGGCCTACCAGAGCACAGGCCTAGACATTGCTTCCTGGGTCCGGGTTCAATACTTGGGTGAAAGTGCTGAATGAGTTCGGGGGCAGAAGCTGCAGGTGAGGGGACCCCACGCTGAAGCTCCTGCACCTCAGTGTGGATTTGCTACCTGACAGGTTCACGAGAACCTCCTGTGGTCCCTGTTTGAAGGCAAAACCCGCTGCACAGATTCCCATTTCTGTGTTGCTAAGATGCAGGTGTGGAAAGGAGCGGACGGACGTGGGCCTCGGTCAAACCCTTCGCTTCCCCCGGGCTAAGCCAGCCACTTGCAGAGGAGGGCTGTGTGTTCTTACCTTGCACTGGAGTAACGACAGTTTTACTGCTCTGCAATTCTGATGCAAGCTCACGGCCCACCCTTGCAGGGAATTCCTCGTTCAGGGAGCCCATAAAGAGGGCAGGCCTTGCAGCTCAGAAACACAAGCACTGCATCCCTTACTTTTCTATTCCATCCCCTTCAAAGGCCACAGAGCCTATTAGCTGGGGTCCTGGTTGATCCTTACAACAACCCTGCGAGGCTGGCTCTACCGAGAGTGAGGTTTCGAACCCAAGCCTTCCAGGGCATCTCGGGGTGGAAGACATCCACACGGAGGAACTGCCTGAGTTAGAGTGATTTCTGCACTGCAGCCCACCAGTTTAATGCCTGGAGAAATATAACCGTCTGTAAAGATGACCACAGGGCAGGCCAAAAGCTCGCTTTGCAGGGACAGGTGTGGATCAGCCGATCGAAGGCCATCCAGGACAGCCAGCGTGGCGTGGTGGGACTCGGGGGGGCGGGGCTCTGGTCCCCACTGGGCCCCACCATGAAGCCCACTGGGTGTTTTTGGGCCAGTCACTGCCTCTCGGCCAAACCTGCCTCGCAGGGTCGTTGTCAAGAGAAAATGGAGAGAACATGGGAAGCTATCCCTGCAAGAGGGTGGGCTACGAGAGCAACGCAACAACAAGCTGAACCACCTTAACCACGGTTCTCTCTCTCCATCTGCCACCAAGGCTCCCCTCTGCCCTCGCCCCATCATTCATCAAAGCCTCATTGCCCCTTCTTCTGGGGCGTCAAAAGGGCCATCAAAGTTTTTGTGGGCTTATGAGCGCAGGACTGGAAGCTGTGGGTGAGCGAGCTGCAGGGACAAAGCAGCCGGGGAAGTCTGAGCGCCCAGCGGAGCAGCGCACGCAACTGTGTCACGCAAGAGAAATGGCACTTACTGCAAAGAGACTGATGACCAGGCAGAAATGCAGGTTCTTCTGCATCTTGAGTGGGCTGAGTTTCAAAGCAGAGAGAAGCTGTTGGGGGAACAGAGAATGAGGTTACTTGCACAAAAAACCAGCCAGCCCGACCAACCTCCCTGCACTGCCTTCCTGCTGGGCTGTGGTCCCTTCTCGCTAAAGATGTGTCTCCCCTTCCATCCCACATACAACAGGGCAGTAGCGTGATTCTCTCTGCAAATTACAGCCAATTGCAGCGCATCAGCTTTGATTAGCTGCAGCAAAGGAAGCCAGAGGTGTATACAGACTTCCTCCTGCGGGTGGGAGTCATCGTTCCCTTTTAGGTTTATTTGTGTGGGCTCGGATGTTTTTGAAATCACTCAAGTGTCGCATACCTTCCGCTCCTTCCGACGGAAAGGCAGATTTGCTGCCAAAACAAAGACAGACCCCAGCAGGATGAGGCCAGAGGTCTATCTTGTCTGGCATCCTGTTTCCCACAGCAGTTCAACCAGATGCTTCCAGGAAACCCACAAGCTAGAGGGGAAGGAAATTGTCCCCTGCTTCTACTGAAAATGGGTCATGAAAGGTAGATTGCTCTGAAACAGGGAGGTTCTACAGAGTAGTCGAAGAGCCACAGATAGACCCAAATCCTCTGGTATGAGTGGGGTTGCTTCCCCTTCAAGGCCATCTAAGTTGCCAGATCTTGCGGCAGCTGCCTTGAGAAACTCACAAGCAGGACATGAGCGCAAAAGCACTCTCCTACCCATGCTCCCCAGCCACTGATGGGCACAGAATACTGCCTCTGAGACTGGAAGCAGCAGCTCGCCTTCAGGACTGGTCACCACTGTCAGACTTGCCCACCATGAATTGGTCTCATCTCCTTTCCACACTGCCCGAATTGGTGGCCATCGCCGCGTCTCGCGAAACTGAATTCCAGAGGTTAACGACGTGCTAGGCAAAGAAAGCCTCCCTTGTACCTGTCCCGAATCTCCCACCCTTCTGAAGCATCTCTCTTCTACTTTTCCACATCACGGAGAAATCTCAGATTTTGTTTACCGAGTCTTCCCCCTCATCCCAAATCTTTTAACCTACCTCCTCTCACTTCCACAGAATCCTAGGATTGTTGGAAGAGGCCAGAAGAAGCCTGCTCAGTGCAGGACTCCAAGTTCAAGTATCCCCAGCTGCTGACTTCCCAGCTACAGAGTGAATACTCCAGCGTGGGAGAGTCCACCAACTCCCTAGGTCACCGGTTCCATTGCTGTCCTGCTCTAAAGAAGTTTTTCCTGGTCTCTAGCCGAAATCTGACTTCCTGTGACTTAAGACCATTATTCCGGGTCCTGCATGGAGAAGAGAACCCGGCTTTCCTCTTTGCAACAGCCTTTCAAGTATTTGTAGAGGGCTAGTCTATCTTCCTGGCAAATAGATGGGGAAGAAATGGAGGTAGTGACAGATTTTATTTTCCAGGGGTCCAAGATCACCGCAGACAGGGACTGCAGCCAAGAAATTAAAAGACGCTTGCTCCTGGGGAGGAAAGCTATGGCAAATCTAGACAGCATACTAAAAAGCAGAGACCTCACCCTGCCAACAAAAGTGCGTATAGGCCAGGCTATGGTTTTCCCAGATGCAATGTATGGCTGTGAAAGCGGGACCATAAGGAAGGCTGAGCGCCAAAGGATTGAGGCCATTGAATTCTGGTGCTGGAGGAGACTCCTGCGAGTCCCTTGGACCACAAGGCGATCAAAGCGGTCAGTCCTAGAGGAGATCAGCCCTGACTGCTCTTTAGAAGGCCAGATCCTGAAGATGACACTCAAATACTTTGGCCACCTCATGAGAAGGAAGGACTCCCTGGAGAAGAGCCTGGTGCTGGGAAGGATTGAGGGCAAAAGAAGGAGGGGATGGCAGAGGATGAGGGGGCTGGATGGGGTCACTGGAGCAGTTGGTGTGAGCTTGGGTGGACTCTGGGGATGGTGGACAGGAAGGCCTGGAGGAATGTTGTCCATGGGGTTGCGATGGGTCGGACATGACTTCGCAACTAACAACAACAACAACAAGCCTATCTCTCCTCAGTCTACTCATGTGCAAGCTAAACATGCCCAGTTCCTTAAAAACTCTCCTCATTGGACTTTGTTTCTGGTCCCATCATCCTCTTGTCTGCATCTTGCTTAAACTGTGGTGCCCAGAACCGGACACAGGACTCCAGGTGAGGCCTCACCAGTGCTGAGTAAAGGAAAATGGGTACTTTGCATGCCTGTGTTTCTCCAGCAGAAATTAGGGATCGAATTAGGCCCCAAATGCAACACATTTAGAGAAAAGAGGGGAAAAAACAGGCTTCTGGTCCTTATGGCTACAAAAGTGTGTAGCAGTGCCCGGAAGGGAACTACCTGAATCAGGTTTCTGGAAATAAGGTTGTCTTGCACCTCTCCACAAGCATTAGGAAGATGCTACTTAAGAACATATATTGATTTGCATAATTGAGAGGGATCACAGAATTCATCTTTACCTGATGCAATTATGGATTCTAAGCATCCTTCAGTTCTGTTACACTAATGAGCTCAAGATGATCCTTGACGGTCTCTTACAAACAGACTAGATACGATTTACATCACTTTGCAAACATGTTAGGTACTCTAGTTTCCAAAACAAGGCTGAAAAAATGGAGCTGGCAAACCTGGAAGATTGGCTCCTCATCGCCCCATCCCTGACTCCCAAGCCATTTCCGGGGGGCCTCTGCCAGGTTCAGCACCCACCTCTAGCAGTCACCTCCAAGATCACCCTACACAAGCCTTCCAAAAGCTTCCACGGCTGCTGCGGCTTAAAAGAACATCACGCCATTAAAACTGACCTCAGTCATCCCAGAGGGTGCAAAGAACGATCCGCAGGAGGCCAGTTGTGAGGAAGAGCCCACAATGAAATGCCGAGCATTTATTTAATGCGGCCGATTTGTTCCCCAGAGAAGCCCCATCCGTCACACTTTGAGCATCCTCTTCTCCGCCAGCAGTTCCCTGGCACTGCCTGGAATTGCATCCCGGGAGCAAGGCCAAGAGCCGGCTTCCAAGCATACCACTCACTGAATGAGTGTCCTAGATGCAAGCTGTTGGATGTACTCCAGGAGGCACTACCACCAACACAAGACTGATAAAGGTTCCAGTCCTCAGGACATTTCAGCTTTCTTTTCAACTCGCCTCGAGAAAGGATGGCCTGTCCCTTCCAGATGTGTGTTCGACTCATCTGGAAGGCACTGGATGAGGAGACCCAGGCTTGCCTGGAGCTAATTGCGCTGCACCGCTGCACCAGGGGAAGATGCCGTAGGAAAAAGAAACCTTCTTACATAATTATCACCTTTTGGAGATAACTTAGCACATCCTTAGTCCATCCTTCATGAATGGCCCAATTTAGGAGGCCCAGTTCCAAAGCTTCTGCATTCTACACCTTGATCTGTTCTGTATAGCCTGCATTTATCTCTGCCCAAGACCGAGGAGGTCCTGCTGAGCCTTTGCAGAAAGCAGCCTTTCGTCCCTACTGTTTGCACATGTTTTTCCACACTGAAAGGATGTGTCACACTTTTAAAAAATTAACCCTCATGGACTGTGCACAAGTCTTCATGCATGGCCCACATGAGAGTCGCTCTGGAGGGGGGGCTAGGGCCCCCTTCCCACATCAGGGCCCCCCCAGATGTGCTGGGCTGCAGTTACCCTCTTCCCCAGCCAGCAGGGCTGTAAGAGAAGCACAATCAAGGTGGGAGACAGGCAAGCTGCGTGAGCTCAGAGCCGCTCCCCCGTCCCTGGAGAGCTGAGCCCCTCCTGACTAGTGATTATCTAGCTGCCTTAATATTTCTCACCTTGCATTAATTACCTCGGCTCAGCACTTTTCCAGCCCTAGCAAATCAGCTGCAGATCACTTCAAAGTAATTAAGCATCTAAGGCCCCTATGAGAGAGAGAGAGAGAGAGCGCGCGAACACGGATGCTTGTTCGTTCTGGAGAAATGGATGGCAGAGGGCTCTTCTGGGAGAACCCTTCAAAGCATAAGCAAAGAGCAGGGGATGAGCTAAAGGATGCAGAGACCAAAGCCACCATAACCTTCTGCAGCCTATGGCGGCCAGGCTCATGCGCCCCCATCAGGCAGCAGAACCAGAGGAACGGCAAAGCGCAGAACCCAACCAGGAGGGCCGCTTCCTTGAGCCCTGCTGGTCATTCCCCCCGCCCAGTCACTGGCGGGATGTCCCCTCCGCTGGGCAACCTGGGGTGTGTGTGAGCAATGAAATCCAGGAGGCTGCCGTCTCTGGCGCAGAGTGCAAGCAGGGCCTGGTGACCCGAAGGAGCGTCTCCTTCCATCTGTGCCTGCCTGCCTGCCTCTTAAGATCTGGGGCAGAGGCCCTTCTCTGGGAGCCCTCCCTGAAGGAGATCAGGAGGGTGGCTACCCGGAGCAGGGCCTTCTCGGTGGTGGCGCCCTGACTGTGGAATTCGCTCCCCAGAGAGGCTCGCTTCTTTTTGGTGCCAGACTAAAACCTTTTTATTCTACCAATGTTTTAAAATTTGATTGTTTTAATTGGGGTTTTATTGCTGGTTGAAAATTTCATTAGGAGGCTGTGTTTTATCTTGTCTTATTGTTAAACCACCCCAAGACCCTGGTAATGGATAGTCTAGAAGAGTTTTAAATAAATAAATCAAAAAGATAACCCAGGTGGGAAGGGGAAGGGGGGCCCACGGGGGAGGACACATGGGGCTCCAGTGCACGCTTGCCTCAAGCGCCGGGGAAGCTTTGGGCCAGCCGTGCCCGACGACGCCGCTTGCCTGCCTTTTTGTCCGCAGTAGACAATATCTTGCTTTCGTGCAAGGTGGGGTCCCCATTCCTCCAACATCTCCGTTTGAGAACGGAGCTTGGGGAGCGCTGGGAATTTTGAAAGGCCTCCAGGGCAAGAGCTGGAGGCAATGCGAGGAGGACTGGAGAAGGCTTCGCCCTGCAGGATGCTGAGCTGGAGGTTAAACTCTCCCGAAACCTGCCTGGACCCACCCGGCTTCACTGCTGCATTTGGCAGCCGGCCCTG